GGGGGGGGGGTCGCCGTTCGCCCCCTTCAAACGCGCCTACAACACAATTAATAGTACACAAACAGGATTTTTAAAATATAAATTGATCAAACGAGTCAAAGTATGTATAGAATTCGTGAGCAGTCTCGTGGCTGGGTGTTTTGCCCACCCCAATGTCCGTCCACGGACGTCTCCGGGGACACTATGGAGTAAACAATATGACAGGGCAGCTTTTCGATCTCTGCCCCCGATCTGCACACACGAGCGGGGATGCTAGACGCGCAGGGTCTCACGCCGCCGCCGTCGCTGATGAGTGTAGCGGGTGTAATAACCATTGTCTGCACCGGGTGTTTCGGTGCACGCGCCCGTTCGGGTGGGCTTGCCTCTAGAGACTTGTCTTTATAGGCTTGCTTTAGGCTTGCCTACTACTGTCGGCCGTCCGCCGTCCGCCTGACCGTAATCGGCCATCGCTTTGGAATCTGGTATCGCGTCGTCTTGAGATCGGCCATCCCTTATCGATTGAGGTCTCCACGAGCAGAAACAGCAGTGACTGCGTCCTGCGACTCTGCTTGGTCATCCACGCACCACACCAGGCATCGGCTCCGGCGACACTTAAACGCAGCCCTTCTCTTGGACTGACACGGCTCTTACGCCTTTTATCACCTGTTTACCCTTGGGGGCGCTGACGATGCAGAGTCATTTAGTAAAGTCCCGTCCTAGTGTTTTCAGCCGGGAGCTATTTTGTGTGCTCTCGGTACACGGGCATGTGTTATCTGGAGCATTAAGCTACGAACTGTGCCTTGCAAAGTCAGTCAGTCAGTCGCTGTATGTCTGTTCTTCCGCCCATCCTATCGTTTCATTTGAACATCTTTTTGCTTAAATCTCAAAATGTGCTTTTCTGCCATCTGAGTCCGGCTCACGAAAACGAAAAATAATGGGTGTGTGACGAAATGCTCTTGGTTCTCGGGTCACTTTGCCAGCAGCCAAATTATAGCTTGCCAGATGACCATGACCAGTCCAGCTGCCAGCAAGTTCGCGTGGTGGGACCTCAATGAGATCTCTCTCTCTCTCTCTCTCTCTCTCTCTCTCTCTCTCTCTCTCTCTCTCTCTGACGGCTGCAACAGAGAGGCTGTACCGAGGAGTCCCCCACCATTACACTCGTTGTACACGAGAAAAAATATTCGCACGATACTCGCGATACTCGCGGCAACTCGTGAAAAACTCGCGCCAACTAGCCAAAAAATCGAGAAATACTCGCCAAATACTCACGAATATTATCCAATACTCGCGTAACGTAACTCACCAAAACTCTCGAATACTCGCGAGTACTCGCGTAACTCATTTTACACCCACATGGAGAGTGGGGGATCCCTCGGGCTAGTTAGATTTTCGGACGGACGGAAACTGTTCCGATACCGACCACCAGGACTCAATTTTACGATTTAAACTGTCAAATTACGTTAGAAAGTTGAAAGTTTTACACAATTTCTGAGACTTATCTAGTTGTATAATGTAAAAATAAGTAAATAATATGAAACATCTACACAAAATCTCGCAGTGCTTAGCGAAATGCACTCGAGTCGCGTGCGAGCGGTGTGATCTGACAGCTGAAAACGGCTATAGGTTATTCAATTATTAATCCAAAAATCGACCCAAGACGATCGGAAGGATCTGTGTGTGCTAGACGTGCACTACATAACTTTAACGTTATAAAAACATTTAAGAGCTGAGCCTCTCGATCTAAACAAAAACAACAACAAAACTTGTAGCCGAATAAAATACCAACATATTGTATTAGAGCGAGGAATAACAATGCGCAGCGATTGGTCACGCTATGTGTGCCCGATAAGCATCGGCCGCTGGTGACAGAGGAAACGTTTCACTGCGCACACCGGGGTGCATGTCCGGGGCCGCCCGGGACGCATTATGCGCACAGATTCGGTTTAAAGGGCGGGAATATGTTTGGTGGGGATCCTGGAAGAACTCTGGAAACTCAAAGTGTGAGACTGACTGCAAAGGCTGCAAGGCCACATGGTGTCCTCCTGCGCCAAAAAGTGTGAGACCGGACCCGGCCAGGGTGTCGTGGAGAAAATTCCAGAGAAGTTTCGACATCCGCCGACGCAAATCATTTCAAGATCCACCCGTAATTGGTACCCAGAAGCCCTCGCTTGCTGTGGACTTTGGCCACACATTACCTGGCTGCTGCAGGCTGGCGGGCGTCCTTGAGGACTCCAGGCAGACACTAGACTCCGGGCAGGCGGCTGGCGCGGGCTAAGTGCGGGCACGACACATCCCCCTGACGTCACGCTGACGTCGGCTCGCGGCCGCTGTTCGGCCCGGTCCGAGCTCTTTGTGACCCCCTGTCGGCCGCCGCCAGCCGCCGTGTCCCACCGGGCCGCAGTGTCCAAGGGGCGGCCGACCCTCCAGGCGAGGCGCGCGCGCGGCTCACCATGGGCTGTGTGTGTGTCGGAGGCTTCGGTGAGCAGCAGCAGCAGAGGGAGAGAGAGGGACAGAGAGAGCAAGGGGGAGAGAGTGCCAATGCGTGACCGCCACCTTTGCATGTATACGCCCCGGCCCCGAAGAATCAGTTCTTGGTCCAAGTCCATACATTATGATTCTCACGCGAGATCTGTGTGAGTACCGGGTGTGTGAACCCCAGTGATGCGGACTCGCCTCTCCGTCCGCCCGCAAGGCACCATGGCCCCCGCGGCCCACAACACTAGTGTTTGTTCTGAAACGCACATTTGCGGTGCAGAGAGAGGTAAACGACCACGTTCGCTGTCCTCCAGCCACGACGTGAGACGTGAGTGAACCAGGCCAACCTCTCAGCTGGTCGTTTGCGCTAAAGGGCCGCCAAGCAACTTTACGTATAACGATTTCAATAAATTGTAGTCCGGGAGGTTTTCAATCGCATTTCTAGCGTTGTGTGGCGTGGTGTGCGTGTGTCGCGGCGAGGACGTTCCGTGCCGACGCGCTGGAGCGGTTCGGTCGTGTTTTGTTTCATTTCCCCGGCGCGAGTGCGATGGCCTTCCCCGCGCCACGCTTCGGAAATGGCGCGAAAGTGAAGAGTGATGCTCGCGCTCTCTCCCACTGCTGGCCGCCCGGCTGGCCGCCCGGCTGGCCGCGAGCCTCATCTGCTCCGCTGCAGATTGCGACTCCGCGCTCGAACCCCTGGCTGGAGCGCCCAGCGTCGCTTTATGTAACGCCCGGTAAAACGCCCCGCGCTGCCCCTCGCCCTGCATCCCGGCGAGGCGTTGCGTGGCCGCGGATGAGACGGTGACGGCGGTGACGGCGGTGACTGTGTTGTGACGTTGCCGACGACAGTGATGGACAGGCAGTCACTACCGATCGCGATGCTTCGCGGCGATAGTGGGCACGAGCCGCAGGCGCGAGCTGGAGTGGGAGACACTACCAGTACCATACGTGCGGGCCAGTCGTTTGGACGCGGAGTGGCGTTTTTGGTCATTCTTTTATCTATCACTTCCTCCTCTCCCCCCTACCCCTACACTCCACCCGAAAAAATGCCCGAAGCAATATTTTCAACCTTCCCTATACGTGGACGTGCACGGAAAAAGAGTACGTTCGTTTTAAAAAAATAAATAAAAATAATTCGTTAATAACAGGAGCTCAGCGCCTGCAAGACTTTGGGTAGGCCACCCCGCAGTACACGCGTGCACTATAGGCTACATGTTGCCTACCTAACAGGCGCTATGGAGCTTGCGTACGCTGAACGTGGAAGGTTCGTTACGGTAACACGGCGAATGACAGACGAACATTTGGATGATCGCAAAGCGCTGCAGCCCCTTTCCTTTAGAATCGGACTAGATATCGTCCTGCTGTGTGTAGAGTTAAAGTAGAGGGATACATCGTCAGTATTCTACTTCGAAACTCCTCACGGAAAACAAAAATCTGCTATCACAACCGAGAATCTGTTGCCAGAACTGATATTTCAGTTAATTTCCGGACTACTGTTTTTTGATAATGAAACTGATATCTAACGAATTACATTCAAAAAATTAGTCGCAGCTGCGTGACCAAACATTTCTTGGCTGCTAATACGAATTGTTTATTGGTCCCTACCCAACTTTGCTTCCTTACGCAATTGTATCTACGGCAAATTTTCGCTGCCATGACTAATTTATTATTAATAACTTTATGGCCGATTTTTGATTATATAACCTAATCCTTTTTTTGTACTTAACTTTTCACGTAGTTTTTTTAACAATTATCCTGGAACAAAAGCGAACAAAAGATTGAGTGAGCATGTTCTAATGATTCGAGACAAAACAAAGCCATAATTAATTGACTGTTAAGAGGCTCACGACTGATATTATTTGACACACAGACATGCCGGAAATGGCGGGGACCCTGTCGAACGGCCACGTGCTCGCCAAGGACAGCGACGTGGCCAACAACAACGTGCAGCGGCCCACCATTACGGACGGCAGCTCCGACTGGATCGACGCCGACCTGGTGGCCGAGGCCGTGGGCGAGGACCCGTCCTCCATCCGGGACGTGGTGGTGAAGGCGGCCGTGGCGGACGGCGACAACTACTGCTCGTGCATGTGGCGGGTGCAGGCCACGGCCGGCGACAAGCCCGTGAGCATCATCGTCAAGGCGCCGCCGCGGGGAGAGCTCATGCAGGACTTCGTCACCAGGCTCGGCTTCTTCACCAAGGAGACCAGGATGCTCAAGGTAAAGCCCACCGCGCAGTGGTATGTCTGTTCATATGAACATGGGTTTTTGGACAAACGTCACTAACCACATGCAATTTTGAATTGATAGCAATAAAGTTACGAATTTGCATAGGCCTACTCTTGCACCGGATTCAAAACTTGCATTCAGTTAAGATTGTAGAAAATCATTTTCAGCACTCCTAATTGAGATTGGAAAAGTAGATAAAAATGACAGCTGAATAATAGGAAATTTTTTGGTATCGCATTCAAGAACCTTTACTCGGCACGGAAAATGCAATCGAAAATATAACTTTTATGAGTGAGACCTTGACGGACCTTGAGGCCATTATGGCGGCATCATATCGACGTTAGGGAAGATTGGGAGTCTTGGGAGTGGGAAGGGGAGGTGGTAAGTAGTTGACTCCAACAGCCCTGTTTTCTTTTCTGACCTATACATTCTCGTACGGAAATAGACCACGACAGGTCGGAAATTATACATATCTTCAAGTGGTCCCAAACTCCTGCAGCGGCGCCGGCGTCGCGTGTTTTGGAGTTACTGATTGCCTCATGTTGTTTTCATCGGGGGTGTATGGCGTGGCTCTGTCAAGGTCCACGACCGGCAAAGGACACTGGGAACTGCTTCAGAAACGACCTCCTGGAATCACTTCGCAGGGCGCTGCAGGGGTGCGTGACACTCTTTAGTGGAGCCTTCCGGTGGCGCCACCCGCCGCATCCGGTTTGGGGGGTGGGGTGGGGGGGGTGATCTGACAGCTGAAAACGGCTATAGGTTATTCAATTATTAATCCAAAAATCGACCCAAGACGATCGGAAGGATCTTGTGCTAGACGTGCACTACATAACGTTAACGTTATGAAAACATTTAAGAGCTGAGCCTCTCGATCTAAACAAAAACAACAACAAAACTTGTAGCCGAATAAAATACCAACATATTGTATTAGAGCGAGGAAGACGGGGTGCTCGTCATGGAGGACCTGTCCGTGTACGGCTTCCGCAACAAGGAACGCCAGGGGCAGCTGGACATCGTGCACTGCAAGGTGAGAGAAACAACGTGTTGGAAACTGTAAGAATGTCGCACATTTGTAGGTGCGTGGACTCCATTCTTACACGGTGGCACAAAGTGTGTGATTTTCAAAAGAAAATTTACACCTTTACTCCCTTAATTGTACGAGTGGGCATTCACACACCTACAAATGTGTGACATACACACCTCTGCGTTTCCAGTGTACTTTATTTCAGGATTGCAAGTCCTGTTTACATAACCTTTCTGCTGCAGCGAGCGCTGGAGCTGCTGGCGCGGTACCACGCGCTGTCCGTGGCCCTGCACCGCGAGGACCCCTCCGCCGTGGAGGACTACAGCGAGCCCATGTTCGTGCGCGGGAAGAACGCCCAGGACGAGGAGCACGCCCGGCTTCACAGCGAGGCGCAGCTCAAGAAGTTCGGCGACCAGGCAGAGACCTGGGAGGGGGTAAGTGACTCGGGCACTCCAAATGGAAAGGGACCATTTTCACTGTAATTCTTGATGCAATGAAGACTACAAATTTAGAGCAATAATTTGTTATTGCATTAAATGCGATAATTTTAACACCTGTTGCTGCGATGATAAATTATCGCACTAAATTGACATTTGTCATTGCATTGAATGCGATAAATCTTAACATATTTTGCTGCAATGATAAATTATCGCAGAAAAATATGCCAAAATTATCGCACTTAATGCAATGACGAATGCCAATTTAGTGCGATAATTTTTTTACGGCTCCCCCAGGTGCAATATTTTGTGGGAATCGCTTTTTGGCTATTATCGCATGAAGTTGTATGAAATTTATCGCACTTGACATAACAGTGAATTGTTCCCTAACAGGCAACGAACGTTTTCGTAAATCCAGAAAGGATGTAATTTTGTTCCTAAATTGGACAAATTATGTAAAACTTAACACAATTCGTCCAGTTTTAGGAAAAAAATGGCATCTTCTCTGAATGTGCATGTGCACGACAACATTTTTAGGAAAAAAATTGTCCTTTTACATTTAGAAAATGTCCGCGCCCGAGCTCGTGTCCAGTTCGTGTCCCCCAGCATCGACTCACGTTCATGACTTGTTGCAGACGAAAGGCAAGGGTTACGGGGAAAAGATGGCCAGCCTCTCCAAGGTGATGTACCACAAGATGTGCGACGTGGTCGCCCCCAGCGCCACGGGGATCAACGTCTTGAACCATGGCGACTACTGGATCAACAACATGATGTTCACGTACGACGCCGACGACGTGGACTCGGCCGCCCCGCGGGACATCCGCATCATCGACCTGCAGCTCGTCAGGTTCTCTTCGCCCGCCTTGGACCTGCAGTACTTCATCACGACGAGCGTGAAGCAGGAGGTACAGTATGCTATCCGAGTTAGATAACGCGGCTGGCTGTAGTGGCTCGCTTTTCTCACATTCATTCGGCAAATTTCCGGGTGCTCGGCGCCTGCGAGACTCGGGGTAGGCCACTCCGCAGTACACGAATGCACTGCAGACAAGATATTGCCTACCCATCAGGCTGTATGAGAGCTGGCTTGAGCTGAACTCGGCATATTCGCAACGGCGAATGACGGACGCACTTTCTGGATGATCCATATTGCAGCACAGCTGCCCCACGGGTTGGCCTACCGAGCGCGTCGCATTACCTTAATGTCGGCACAGTTATAACCTTGCAAAGCAAAATGCCAAATCCCTTGCAATTGCAAGCACTTGCTTTGGAAGGTTTTAACTGTGTGAGTGTGTCGGGTGGATGAGGGGGATAAATATTCGGAACATATAGTTTCGCTGAATATCAGAAGATAAAGTTGTAACAGTTTTTTAAAAGTATGAACAAGTTTTTCTTGTTATGGTTTCTAAATTTACGCCTTTATATGTCAAATACTTATTTTTTGACGATAATCCAGCACTACACTTTTTTTTACAGTTTTGTATAACCAATAATTATTCTTCCACGATCTCCCTTGCAGGTGCGCGAGGAGCAGCTGGACGTGCTGCTGCAGACCTACTGCGACTACTTCAACGAGTACGTGTCTGCGCTGGGGCTGGGCGACGTGAGCTGGACGCTGGGCGGGCTGCGAGACGAGTTCCTCTCCAAGTCCCTGTTCGGGTTCAGCGCCGTGTACACGGTGCTGTGCGCCGTGGTGGCGGACCCGGAGGACCGCCTGCAGCTCGACAACGTCACCAAGGAGAACATGCACGAGGCCGACTTTACCTCCAAGGCCTGGGCGGGGAAGAACTTCCAGCGCATCATACCCGGCACGCTCGAGTTCTTTGCGAGAGACGTGCTGAGCTAATCAGCGGGCGCATCCTACGGCTATTCGTCGCAAATGGTGTGGGTCATTCACAGTCTTTGTTGTGGGGGAAACGAAGAGCCACACACACATGGAAAGCGCGTAAAAATGTACAAAGAAGGTGACATACTAGTGACGTGTATTAAGCTCATCAATGAATGTAACACGTGTCCAATGTGTAACCTTTTTAGCGCATTTCTACGCGCATTGATTCGTTGGTGCTCCCGAGGAACTCTTGGCCGAACTTGGTAATACTGCAGGCAGTAAAACAAGAGTACAACCAAAGTTATTTTCCACCGACACATTACCTGGTCGCCGCCATCAAGCAGTACCGGGACGGGGCGGACGCTGCAGTATTGGCGCCGTACGAGAGGATAGAGTTAGGCAAAGCCGCATCCCTGCAGCGTCCGCTAGGTAGGGCTGTGCGATACAACGATATTTTGATATCGATACGATATTGTCCGATATCGAGGTTGCTCGATACTACGATTTATTGCGATATATCGACCATTTTCAAACATATCGTTTCTCCGTATGGTTCGATATTGCGATAACTAGATATTATCGAGACTCGATGCATCGAGTCGATGTCAATACGTGGTCAATATCGTATGGCGATATCAAAATCTGGAAATCGCATGGCCCTACTGCTCGGTGAACACAAAACCTTTATGCATGATGTTGTGCAAAATGCTTGCAGGACTTTGTGCAGCTAGTCGAGCACCATGACCACTATGCACACATTTGTGCATTGTTATGTTCTGCGTGATTATGTACAACCTAATCCATGAGGTTTTTAGAGTGTAACTTACCCACCCCACCAGAAGCCCCAGGAGGGCACACTTCAAAGAGATGCGGCCTTCTCATGGCATGAACCTCTTTTATTTTACTTCTATTCAGGCGCGGTATAAGGACCGGCTGGACCGGCTGACAGGGGGAGCGATGCACCGTGGGTTGCCTACATACAGGGGTTTTGGTGGCACAAATTGCCCACCTTTCAGGCGCCTCACTAGAGCCCCCCCCCCCTTATAGCGCGCCTGCTTCTTTTCCAGTATTACTACTAGTAGGTACTCCTTTGTCCTGAAACAACTACAATCGCCGAAAGAAATAACTGACTAAAACTTGATTAAGCTAGTGATGGTGAATTGTGCTCAAAGAAGGGAGAGGCTTTAAATCCGATTGTAGAGTGTTGTGAATGTGAAAATACGAGGTGACTGTTATACTGTGCCGCGAACATTTGTTGAGGTTTGCCCATTCACTCGCACAATTAAAACCTTTGAGAAGAATTTGGCAGGTTTGAAATTGTGAAAATAAACCTTTATTCCACAATACAACCATTTGGTTTGTTTTGTAAACTGTATTTAGTGTATGCTTGGCGAAGCATTTAAACTGTTTGTAATTTCAAGCAAAAGTTCAGAATAACGGCTTCGCTAGGGCCATAAGACGGAAACGATAGCAAATCTGCATGCAAATCTGTTAATGTTGTACAAAGATTGTTGTTTTGTCTGCAAATCTTTGAGAATGTATAAAGATAGTATGTCTTTCTATGTGATAGTAGATCCTTAGTTACTTTAAGTAAATTCAATATTTAAAAACAAACAACATTATAATTTTAGTTATTTTTTGAGATTATTAAGAGAATAAACGTTACCTGAAACTTTTTAGGTGTCAGAGTCCTGCAGAAGAACCCTACCTCCACATCCAGTACATTTTCAGCGTTACTTTTGATCAGGGGCCAAAAATGCTTGCTGGCACTTTCTCTGAAGCTTTTTTGACTCGGAGGGAGGAAGCAGGGAGGGGAGGGGGAAAGGGAGAAGAGATCTGTTACCAGTCAAGGAGGGAAGGAGCGCGACGCGCGACGGGCCGTGCCAGTCAGGGGCTGGCTGAACGGGGCAGAGTGGTGAGGTGGGAGTGTCAAACCACGTCAAGCAGAGTCGGCGGCACAAGGGACAAGGTACAGCAGCTCTGGCAGGACCAAGGACCATAACAGGAACAGGGGCACTAGGGAGACTATGTTTTACTGGAGTACCAGGCGGGCGGCAGGAATCCAGCTACCCACGACCATGTTAACATAACACCTGTCATGTCTTTATGAACAGATATTTCCGTTGAGCGGAGGGAATTACCATTAATTCAATGTAACCATTTTCTCTGTGAGAGGTTCCTTGCTCGAAATGAGTGAGAAGATTCACCCTCCAAATGGAAGTGAGGCTCTTCGGGTCTTCAACTTCAACCTCACCCTATTATTTGATAAACATTCTCGTTTATGACTTAATAATTCAAGTAAGAATTTTCACTCGACCTGAGTGATTCTTGTTTCGACTTCATCCATTTGCAGTAAAGGTTTCTGGCCAGCAAGGTTTAGCCAAGGTTTATCATTTAAAAACGAGAATCCTGCGAGGTTCAAACACCAGCTCAGAGTGCTCTGCCGCCCAACGTGGCGAAGATCACGTCCGCACGGGTATGGACCGCGCTGCAACGTCCTTGAGCGGGGCGGAGCGGGGTGGGAGCGGGGGCCCAGCCCGACAGTGGGATGAGGAAGAGGCACTCTGTGCGACGCTTTGAACCCATGAAACTGAAACAACTAGAATGTTAGTGCATCTGCACGGCACCTGGACGCGACCGGACTGCGAGGCCACGCGCCCCGCCCCGCTCGACGCTTCCGGGTGACAAAAGAGCCTCGCGACCAGGCGAGGTCCAGCCATCTGGCTGTGCGGATGGTGGGAGAGCCTCAAGGGATGCCAACGGCGATTACTTGTTCTGTTGAAAATGGACCGGGCTGTACCGGGTGGCTGCGGGGCGGTCACGGACGGTAGAGGCGTAGTCCCACATGCTACTAAAGCCTCTGTGCGGTACATAACAGCTTCGAATAGGCCAGCTCTGGTTTACATTCCCGAACTTATTGGATCCAGCTCCCACACATTTCCGTCCGAAAGCCCGACCTGACCTCTGCGCTGCTACGTAAATAGCCCCGGCGGCCTGGCGATACTCCGCGCGGCGGGGAAGGCCTTAACTCGCGTTTGGCAGGGGCTGTGCTGTGCACGGCTGTGCCGGTGTGTGCGGGTGGGGCACCTGGCACAGCGCGCCCAGCCCAGTGCCTCCCCCGGCCAGCAACAGGGGCGCGCGTGGCGAGGGGCGGTTCAGTTGGACGACCCTTCGCGGGGCGGGGAGGGTTACCGGTGCAGATAGACCTGTTCTCAACGACAGCGCGGGGCTACCGATACCGAGTGTCGGGCCGGCGGCGCGTGGGCTGGCGCCTGGCGCATGGCGCCCGCCACCTCCAGGGTAGGCAGCCGATCGGGCGCTTGTGCCAGCCGGGCCGGCCCGCCTCCTGGGCTTCTGAGGGGCTTCCCCGGACACCTTTCAGCACCAACCCTGGACCCTCCGCCACAGATTTGTTATTCAATGGTCACCGGTAGGAGTAGTGAGCCGGCCGCCGGACGCCACCACAAGCTGCACGCCCCACGCCGGGTGGGCCTGGCCCTCGGCCTGGCCCGGCGCCAGCATTCACAGGGTTCGTTGGCGCTCGCGAGCCCCTCCGCGGCGCCCCGCTCAGCCTCGCGGGGGTCACGTCCTTCGCTGCGTACTCTGTCAAAGAGGAGCCACCGGCCCGGGGCCCGGGCCCCTGTCTCAGCGCCAAAGCTACCCCCAGCCCCAGTATTTCATTCTTTCTTCTGGCCGAAATGTGTGTGTGTGTGTATGTGTGTGTATGTGTGCGTAGCTCAGGGAGTTGCTTCGAAGGCCCATTCAAGAAAACCAAGACACGAGAAATAATTTGTTATAACGTGTATTTGAGCTTACATTGAAGCCAAAAACGTTGTTTTATTATACAAAGAAATAATTAATGGTCTTTACGAGGTCGTCCTAGAACTCATACAGGAGACATACATAAATAGCTTAAAATAAGAAATGAGAGTTCAACGATCACAGAGCACACTTAAAATAAAAATACTGGTATGATTCACAGGAATGGTGTCGTAACATGTGGTTTGCGATACTACCCCGTGAATAAATAAACTTAAACAAATAAAATAATCGACATCGACACTCCGTAAATCTATCATCATCATCTTCAACAAAAAACTTTGTTACACAAAACAGCGGTGGTATTCGCCCGCATCTTAGTTCGACAAGGGAATCACGGGTATACAAGAGAACAGAAAGACGGCACGAGGAAGCGGCGGACCGACACGGCCGCGCGCCCCGCACACAATTTATGAATAATTCCGCCTTGTGGCCAGTCAGAGGAGGTGGAGCTCGGCGCGCAGCTGGCCTGCACAGGGCCACGGCGCCGCGGAACTGAGGCTCTCAGGCGGCCGGCCAACAGGAGGGTGCGGCGGCACGCCTCGCACAGCGACAAGACAGATTGGGCCGGTGTAAGACACGCACACATAACAGGGGGAGGAAAGAAATTGAGATCTAGTGGACGAGCCGTCAAGGGCTGACGGGGACGGTGGGGGCTGCGGTCCTGGCGCGGGGCGGCGCGGCGACTGTGATGTAAGGAGAGGCGCAGCCGCCCCCATTAGACTTTCAGATCGGCGGCCGCGGACGGGTCCGACCCGACCCCGCCCGGCAGAGTCTGAGACAGCGTCTGAGACAGAGTCTGAGACAAAGTCTGAGACGGACACAAGATGGCACACAAAAATCACAGCCAAGCGCGTCGCGCATGATCATCAACCGGAGGAGTCGCGCCGGCTCGGGGCGGTTGATGGTGTTGGTCGGTGACCTCACGGTGACCTCGCGGTGACCTCGCGGTGACCTCACGGTGACCTCAGGCCGCGCACTGGCCGCAGAGCGCGAGCGGCGCCCGGTCCCGCACGGCGCCGCCTCCATGGCCGCCGGCCGGCGCCACGCCCGCGCAGCGCACATGGTACCAGCCGCCGCAGCCCGAGCAGGTCATCCAGTCGGCGCGCCGCTGCGCCGTCTCCCTGAAGTAGTTGGCGTGGCAGCCCCGGCACGCGTGCTGGTCGTCCGAGAAGCGGCGGTGCGACTGCGGCTGCTGGCGCCGCTCCTGGGCGCGCCGCTTGGCGCGGACCCACTGCGACAGCCGGCTCTCCTGGTGCCCGATGGACCAGAGGCGCTTGAGCGGCGACGTCATGTTGGACCTGGAACAGAAAACAGGCGGCGGCGTTAGCTTCCAGTCCTGGGCGACGCCACGGGGAGTGGTCCGGGTGGGGTCCCGCCCCTCACCTGGCTCGGCCTGCGGAGCGCCCTCTCGCCTCGTGCTCTCTAGAGGCACTGCTCGCGGCCGGGGCCGGGCCGGTCAGGACCGCAGGTGGATAGAGAGGCCGCAGCTGCGCAGCTGCGGGGTGGGGTGGGGCGGGGAGCTGGGAGGCGCGGCGTACCAGATTAGATAACGCAGGCCCTTCTCTACCACCAGTCCCCTCTCTCCCCGCGCCTTCGAGATCCCTACTAACCCTTCGCCCCTCCCCCCCCTTCTCTGCCTCTTTATTCCATCTTCTTTCCTGTGAGTCTGCGAGCAGCCCGCGCAGACTGCTGGGCGCGCTACAGGGCGGCGGTGCGGGGGGAGAGGGTGCAGCCAACTGCCTGCGCGCGAGCAGCCCTCGGCCCGCGGCCACCACTGTACGCCAGCCACGCCAGCTGGCCCTCGCTGCGCCCCTTCGGCTAGCGATGCTTGTGGCGATGACCTAACGCTGCAATTAACGTTTTGGCGAGCGCCTGGCCAGCCGTTGACCGGGCGGGGACCCTTCGCCGGGCCGCGCAGCCGACGCACACGACCAGCTGGGCAGCCAGCAGCAAAAAAAAAAAACACGTTTGCTCAAACTGCTAGAGGTAACCGTTGGTTCTTATTTGTTTGCTGTTTATGCTAAATATTCGGACATATATTTGCTGACATATTTTTTTGAGTTATTTTAGAAAACAATTACGGTGAAACTTACGTTTAAGCTTGGTTTAGGGTAACGGCAAAATAATCCACGAAGAGGGACAATGTCTTTTATATAACAGAGAACCTAAAATAAATCAGCAAGCTTGCTTTTTTTTTTGAGTCAGCTGACCGTGCCCTGCTGGGTGTGCACTCCTTCTCCTCCTTGCGACATACTGGGCGGCCTGCGGCTTGCGAGCAGTGAGATGCTCCCACGAACCTTGAACTAATCTGCGAGCTATTCGTGGCGCAGCGTGGCATCGTATCACTCCAATTCGCACACCGCCTGCCATAGTGTGGGAAGCTTTATTCCCAGCTGAGGCCGCACACACACACACAGCCCACAGGGTACACAAGCACGCCCGGCCCCAAGTCTAAACATTCGGATCCGGCTGTCCAATAACCCCGACGAATCTACGATTAAACAAACCGCAAGCTGCCGATGCGACTTTGCAGCTGCCTCGGCCAGGTACAGTGAAGGGCGGTTGCCGCCACGGACCACGGCGCGGGCTGGGCTCGGCACGAGTCGGTGCCCCGCGCGCTCCGCCGAACCCATCTCGTGACCTAATAATCTCGGGTAAGGCCGTGGCCGAGTCACCATCGGTTAAAAATAGAGGACGAATCGAGGTCAATTTCATTTCGCCTTGTGTGTCCACACACCAAGTAACCGTTGGGCAAGATTCTGCAGTTGGATAAATACATGCACAAGTTTTCGCCTTATGTATGCACGCACATATTTTTTAGGGTGTGCAGATTAAAGTATGCTCGAACGATAATGCATAAACGTGCATCGTTTATACAAGAACCGACCCAAAAATACAGAACGAAGGTGTAGTTCGTACTCCCCCCGTGTCGGTTTCGCCACCGAAGGCTCTTTCGCGGCTGCGGACATACGACTTGAACATAAACCTTGAAGAAGTCGGAGCGGCGTGGCTCCCTCCTTACAAGATGAATGCGGGTCCCATGTTTTATTCAGCCACCTCATCAATGGATTCGGATCAATGCCCGACGAACGGAACCCGCCATCTTCGCGCAGCCTGAGCCTGCTTCTGCAACTCTTTTTCTGTACAAAACCCTTGGCTGACTTCCACTGCATCTCCCCCCCCCCACCTTTACAGTTGAATTTTAACAAGCTATGGTGGAGACAATACGAGCCTCCCGACCTCGCGGCGACGTGACGTCATTTGAATATGTGGCGCCTCTAGTCCACCGCCTTCCACGGGCTGGCACGCGAGCTGCATCTGCAACTTGAGCGGGCGGAGCGTGTTGGTCGCGGCGTCGCCTCCTGACGTCACGGCGGCCGTGTGCGGAGCGTCAGCAGCGACACAGCCGCGAGGTGCTTCAGACGCAGCGGAAGTTGGACGAGGCGTCCTCAATTATTTAGGGTCATCGGCCGCGGCGAGCGCAGAGATGACCGATCCGACCGACACGAACAGCGCGGCGAGCAGCGCGGGACTTATGGGGTTCCAGCGCGGCTAGCCGGCGGCTATTGGGCGTGTGGTGGGGGCACAACTCGACGACTGCTTCCTGCTCGACCCACCTTCGGGGGCCCAGCCCAGCCCAGCCCGGCCCGGCCCGGCCCGGTGGGATCCGGCCGCAGCCCCGCGGTGGGTAAGGTCAGTCCGAGAAGGGCCGCGCGCGCGCGCACACACACACACACACACACACACCCGCCCACCCCCAACGTGTTCTTATTCCACTGCTTCATTCCCTGCTCCTTTTGTTCTCGGTGCTGCGCGAGCTGCGCTCCGTGCATCATCGGTCACGATCCAGCCCAGGCGGAGATGGGACGGCCCGAGTGATTACGCCGATGACTCGCCCAGATAAAACGTGGCGTGGCGTGGCGTGGCGTGGCGGAGCGTGGCGTGGCACAGCCTGGCGTGGCGTGGCGCGGCCGCCGCGGCGGGTACCCTAGTGGTGCCAAGGCATACATTAAATAAACCTGTGAGCCGAGCTAAGCAGCTTCCCTTCCGCGTTTTCAGCAACAGCCGAGACTGACCACGTCGAAAAAAAGAAACACTACTACTCTCTGGCCTCCTCACATCCGCTGACAGACGTTTGGGTGAGCGAGCGAGCTGTGAGGTGCTGGGAGGTGACGAGGCGGGGAGTGGGCGGAGGAAGAGTTGCTGAAGTCGGGACACATTCGTGTTCCTGCTGGCCGGTGCCCTGTGGCTGGTCCCCTTGGAGACCTCGGCC